TTGACAGGGCGGGAAGGGGCGGGGGGGGGTTTGGAGGTGGCGTGAAGTAAAAGGAGGTAAGATTGGGGTGGGGGAGTGATGGAGAGTGGGGTTGTGTGTGTGTGTGGGCGGCGGGGGGGAGTGATGGAGCGTGGGGTTGCGTGTGTGTGTGCGGCGGCGGGGGGTGGGGGTTTTTTTTTTTTTTTTTGGGTGTTGGTGTTGGGTGGTTTTTTTTTTTTTTTTTTTTTTTTTGTGGGTTTTTTTTTTTTTTGTGGGGTGGGGTGGGTGGGGGGGAGTGATGGAGCGTGGGGTTGCGTGTGTGTGTGCGGCGGTGGGGGGGAGTGATGGAGCGTGGGGTTGCGTGTGTGTGTGCGGCGGTGGGGGGGAGTGATGGAGCGTGGGGTTGCGTGTGTGTGTGCGGCGGTGGGGGGGAGTGATGGAGCGTGGGGTTGCGTGTGTGTGTGCGGCGGTGGGGGGGAGTGATGGAGCGTGGGGTTGTGTGTGTGTGTGCGGCGGCGGGGGGAGTGATGGAGCGTGGGGTTGCGTGTGTGTGTGCGGCGGCGGGGGGAGTGATGGAGTGTGGGGTTGTGTGTGTATGTGCGGCAGGGGTGTGTGTGTGTGCGGGAAGCGACGCGGCGGGGCTTGGAGTGGGCATGGTTTCCGCAGAGGGAACGTTGGCCGGAAGGGCATGTGCGCGCGCCAGGGAACTTGCGGCTGGGCGCCAATGCGCATGTTCAGTTGTTTTGCCGTTTTGTGAGTGTGTTGTTGTGTTGTTTTTCATTTTGAGTAGATACGTTTGTACCTTGTGGGTTGTGTTATGGGCATGGGAATTTTGGTTAAGTTTCGTTGGGGTTTTTTTGAGTTTTGTTTTTTTGCCGTTTTGAGTGTGTTGTTGTGTTGTTTTTCATTTTGAGTAATATGTTTGTACCTTGTGGGTTGTGTTATGAGCATGGGAATTTTGGTTAAGTTTCGTTGGTTTTTTTAGAGTTTTATCCTTTTTCCGTTTTGTGAGTGTGTTGTTGTGTTGTTTTTCATTTTGAGTAGATATGTTTGTACCTTGTGGGTTGTGTTATGGGCATGGGAATTTGGTTAAGTTTCGTTGGGGTTTTTTGAGTTTTGTTGTTTTGCCGTTTTGTGAGTGTGTTGTTGTGTTGTTTTTCATTTTGAGTAGATATGTTTGTACCTTGTGGGTTGTGTTATGGGCATGGGAATTTTGGTTAAGTTTCGTTCGGGGATTTTTGAGTTTTGTTGTTTTGCCGTTTTGTGAGTGTGTTGTTGTGTTGTTTTTCATTTTGAGTAGATATGTTTGTACCTTGTGGGTTGTGTTATGGGCATGGGAATTTTGGTTAAGTTTCGTTGGGGTTTTTGAGTTTTGTTGTTTTGCCGTTTTGTGAGTGTGTTGTTGTGTTGTTTTTCATTTTGAGTAGATATGTTTGTACCTTGTGGGTTGTGTTATGGGCATGGGAATTTTGGTTAAGTTTCGTTGGGGGTTTTGAGTTTTGTTTCCTTGTTGGATGCCCCTAACAAATTTATATATATAGATTATATTATATTATATTATATTATATTATATTATATTATATTATATTATATTATATTATATTATATTATATTATATTATTTCTAGTCATCCCCTGCCATGCATTGCTGTGGCACACATGGGGGTTCTGTGTGGGAGGTTTGGCCCAATTCTATCATTGGTGGGGTTCAGAATGCTCTGTGATTGTAGGTGAACTATTAATCCCAGCAGCTACAACTCCCAAATGTCAAGGTTCTATTTTCCCCAAACTCCACCAATGTTCACATTTGGGAATATTGAGTATCCGTGTAGAGTTCGGTCCAGATCCATCATTGTTTGTGTCTACAGTGATTTCTGGATGTAGGTGAACTACAACTCCTAAACCAAAGGACACTGCCCACCAAACCCTTCCAGTATTTTCTGTTGGTCATGGGAGAACTGTGTGCCAAGTTTGGTTCAATTCCATCATTGGTGGAGTTCAGAATGCTCTTTGATTGTAGGTGAACTATAAATCCCAGTAACTACACCTCCCATATGTCAAGATTCTATGTTCCCCAAACTCCAGCAGTGTTCACATTTGGGCATATGGAGTATTTGTGTAGAGTTTGGTCCAGATCCATCATTGTTTGTGTCCACAGTGATCTCTGAATGTAGGTGAACTACAACTCCAAAACCAAAGGACACTGCCCACCAAACCCTTCCAGTATTTTCTGCTAGTCATGATATTGTCAAAGGCTTTCATGGCCAGAATCACTGGGTTCATTGCTGTGAGTTTTCTGGGCTGCCTGGCCATGTTCCAGAAGCATTCTCTCCTGACATTTCACCTACATCTATGGCAGGCATCCTCAGAGGTTTTGAGGTCTGAGGATGCCTGCCATAGATGCAGGCGAAACGTCGGGAGAGAATGCTTCTGGAAATGGCCATACAGCCCGAAATATCTACAACAACCCAGTGATTCCATCCATGAAAGCCTTCGACAATACAAAGTGAGATCTCTGTTGGGGAGTAAAGAGTCAGCCATCAGATAGTCTTTGGATAGACTTTCACAACGTTGTCGTGCGTGGATAAACAGAATTGCGATCCAAAGTGCCGAAAAAAGATTGTATTGGAACAGGCCCTGATTTTATATATATTTTTGTTTGTTTATTTTGCAAATTCTCCACCTTCCCCTTCCTCAAGTCATTCAAAGATGACGTGGATTTGAAGCAAGACCTTCGCTGTGACACTATCGACACCCGGGAAGAGTATGAGCTGAAGGTAAGAGGGGAGGGAGCAGGCTTCCTTTCTGCCACCCTGGAGACTAGGACACAATGGAGCAATGGCTTCAAACTACAAGAGAGGAGATTCCATCTGAACATTAGGAAGAACTTCCTGACTGTGAGAGCCGTTCAGTAGTGGAACTCTCTGCCCTGGAGTGTGGTGGAGGCTCCTTCTTTGGAAGCTTTAAAGCAGAGGCTGGAGGGCCATCTACCATCTAAATGTGCTTTGCCTGCTTCTTGGCAGAATGGGGTTGTGGATGGCCTACGAGATCTCTTCCAACTCTTAACTAAATGTAAAACTTTTCTTTGTCATGCTATTTAGTAACTATTTTATTTTGTTATTTCGTGTATTTATTTTGATGTTATTTTGGCTTCTTTGTATTTTATTTTGCTGTACTGTAATTTTGGGCTTGGCCTCATGTTAACTGCCCTGAGTCCCCTTTGGGGAGATGGTGGCAGGGTTCAAATAAAGATTATTATTATTATTATTATTATTATTATTATTATTATTCCCCTGACATTAAGTCCAGTCGTGTCTGGGGGTTGGTGCTCATCTCCATTTCTAAGCCAAAGAGTCGGCATTGTCCATAGACACCTCCAAAGTCATGTGGCCGGCATGATTTCATGGAGCTCTATTACCGTCTGTTGTTGTTGTTGTTGTTATTATTATTATTATCATGGAGCGCTATTACCTTCTATTATTATTATTATTATTATTATTATTATTCCACTAACCTTGTCCATAGACACCTCCAAAGTCATGTGGCCGGCATGATTTCATGGAGCTCTATTACCGTCTGTTGTTGTTGTTGTTGTTGTTGTTATTATTATCATGGAGCGCTATTACCTTCTATTATTATTATTATTATTATTATTATTATTATTATTATTATTCCACTAACCTTGTCCATAGACATCTCCAAGGTCATGAGGCCGGCATGACTTCATGGAGTGCTATTACTGTCTGTTGTTGTTGTTGTAGTTATTATTATTATTATTCCCCTGACATTAAGTCCAGTTGTGTCCGACTTTGGGGGTTGGTGCTCATCTCCATTTCTAAGCCAAAGACCCGGCATTGTCCGTAGACACCTCCAAGGTCATGTGGCCAGCATGACTTCATGGAGCACTGTTACCTTCTGTTGTTGTTGTTATTATTATTGCTATTGCTATTGCTATTATTATTCCCCTGACATTAAATCCAGTCGTGTCCGACTCTGGGGCTCTGGTGCTCATCTCTATTTCTAAGCCAAAGGGTCGCCGTTGTCCGTAGTCACCTCCAAGGTCATGTGGCCAGCATGACTTCATGGAGCGCTATTACTGTCTGTTGTTATCATTGTTGTTATCATTGTTGTTGTTGTTGTTGTTATCATCCCCCCTGACCAAGGTCATGTGACCAGCAAGACTTCATGGAGCGCTATTACCTTCTGTTGTTATTATTGTTATTATTCCCCTGACATTAAGTCCAGTCGTGTCCGACTCTGGGATTCTGGTGCTCATCTCCATTTCTAAGTCGAAGAGCCGGCGCTGTCCATAGACACCTCCAAGGTCATGTGGCCAGCATGACTGCATGTAGCATCCATACCTTCCCACTTATTGATCTACCCACATTTGCATGTTTTTGAACTGCTAGGTTGGCAGAAGCTGGGGCTAACAGCAGGAGCTCACGCTGCTCCCCAGATTCGAACCATCGACCTTTCGGTCAGCAAGTTCAGCAGCTCGGTGGCTTAACTCACTGATCCACTGGGGACTCCTTCAATAATAATAATAGTATTATTATTATTATATTATTATTGTTATTATTATATAATAATAATAATAACAACAACAACAACAACAACAACAACAGTCATTTTGTGTGATTTATGTGAATTTGGCTTGGACTTTTAGGTGGACAAAGGTAAAGGGTTTTCCCTTGACACTAAGTCCAGTTGTGTCCGATTCTGGGGGTTGGTGCTCATCTCTATATCTTAAGTCGAAGAGCCGGCGTTGTCCATAGACACCACCAAGGTCATGTGGCCAGCATGACTGCATGGAGCGCTCTTACCTTCCCACCTATTGATCTACTCACATTTGCATGTTTTTGAACTGCTAGGTTGGCAGAAGACGGGACTAACAGCGGGAGCTGTTCAAACCTGCGACTTTTCGGTCAGCAAGATCAGCAACTCAGTGGCTTAACTCACTGATCCACCGGGGGCTCCTTCAATAATAATAATAATTTAATAATAATAATAATAATAATAATAATAATAGTCATTTTTGTGATTGATGTGAATTTGGCTTGGACTTTTAGGTGGACATTTAAGTACAGTCGTGTCCGATTCTGGGGGTTGGTGTTCATCTCTATTTCTAAGTCGAAGAGCCAGCGTTTTCTGTAGACACCTCCAAGGTCATGTGGCCAGCGTGACTACATGGAGCGCCCTTACCTTCCCACCTATTGATCTACTCAAATTTGCATGTTTTTGAACTGCTAGGTTGGCAGTAGCTGGGGCTAACAACGGGAGCTCACACCGCTCCACGGATTCGGACCTACGACCTTAAGCTCAGTGGCTTAACTCACTGATCCACCGGGGGCTCCTTCAATAATAATAATAATAATAATAATAATAATAATAATAATAATAATCAATAATAATAATAGTCAACAACAACAACAACAATAATAGTCATTTTGTGTGATTGATGTGAATTTGGCTTGAACTTTTAGGTGGACATAGGTAAAGGGTTTTGCCTTGACATTAAGTCCAGTGGTGTCCGATTGTGGGGGCTGGTGCTCATTTCTAAGTCAAAGAGCCGGCGTTGTCCATAGACACCTCCAAGGTCATGTGGCCAGCATGACTACATAGAGCGCCCTATTGATCTACCCACATTTGCATGTTTTTGAACTGCTAGATTGGCAGGAGCTGGGGCTAATAGCAGGAGCTCACCCCACTCCCCAGATTCGAACCTGCAACCTTTCAGTCAGCAAGATCAGCAGCTCAGCGCTTTGACCGCTGTACCATCGGGGGCTCCTTCCAACTCTAGGATTCTGTTATTCTGTGTGTTTCTCCTTTTGAGATACCAAAACTCAACCTCCTCTCTGTCCTCCTTTCCAGGACCCCACCAACGGCTACTACAACGTCCGTGCCCATGAGGACCGGCCTTCTTCCCGCACGGTACTCTACGCTGACTACCGCAACCCCAACACCACCACTCGCTTTGACGGCCGGCCTTCCTCCCGCCTTTCCCACTCCAGCGGGTACGCGCAACTCAACACTTTCGGCCGGGGAGCCGCCACGGAGTACAACCCGGACCCCGGTCCCACTCCGGGTGGCATGTCGGCCACCACGTCCGCTCCCGGCGCCGCCGACACGGCCAGCCAGCTTTCCTACGAGAACTACGGCGGGCACGCAGGCTTCCCCACCGGCGCTGGCTACGCCACGTACCGCATGGCCTACCCGCAGCCGCCCAACCCCACCCTGGATGGCCGAGGCCCCTACGACACGTACGACCCGCTGGGGAAGTACACCACCGCCACCCGTTTCTCGTACTCTTCGGACTACGGGCAGCGGTTCCAGCAACGGATGCAGACGCACGTCTGAAACCGAGTTGGGGGTTAGGGAAAGTGGGTGGGCGGGCGGGAGGGGACTTGCAGGTACCTCATGACTGTTCCCTGATATTCAGGGGCATGTTTTGTTTTTTTCTTCCCCACCTTCACCCCACTTTCCTGGACCCACGGTCACCAAAATCCCTCTCCTTTTTTGCCCCTCGCTTTTGCCGCCATCCGGCACAGCTTTTTCTTCTATTCCTTATTTTCCAAATCCTGTTTTCGGGAAGTCGGGAGGAAAAGAAGAGGGCGCGGACCCTGTTTTCCCTCTATATCGGGATGCAAAGTGCTTCCGTAATCCTTTCATAGTCTCACTTCTTCTCCTTCATCAACTCCAAACTCTTCCCAAAATATGCATCCACGAATGGGAATGTGCATCTAATTCTAACTATAGCTTCAATTGAAAATTTAGGCCCATGTTGGTGTGTCCGCTCCGGATTTTGGTCCGAACTTTCAGAGAGCTCTCCAAGGAGTGTGCTGATTTCTGCTTTCCCTGCACAAAAATAATATCTTCTGCTCCTTTAAAAAAATGGATAGAACCATTGAAGTTCGGACTAAAACCTGGAGCGGCATCTCCTTTCATATGCATCTATGAATGGGAGTATGCATCTAATTATAATTATACCTTCAATGGCAAAGTTATGCCCATGTTGGTGTGTCCGCTCCGGATTTTGGTCTGAACTTTCAGAAAATTCTCCAAGAAGTCTACTGATCTCTGCTTCCCCTGCACAAAAATAATATCTTCGGCTCCTTTAAAAAAAATGGATAGAATAGCTAAAGTTCGGACTAAAACACAGAGCGGTGTCTCTTTTCATATGCATCTAGGAATGGGAATATGCATCTAATTGTAACTATACCTTCAATGGAAAAGTTATGCCCATGTTGGTGTGTCCGCTCCGGATTTTGGTCCGAACTTTCAGAAAACTCTCCAAGACGTGTGCTGATCTCTGCTTCCCCTGCACAAAAATAATATCTTCGGATAGAATTGTTAAAGTTTGGACTAAAACACAGAGCGGCATCTCCTTTCTTATGCATCTATGAATGGAAATATTGATCTAATTATAACTATGCCTTCAATGGCAAGGTTATGCCCATGCTGGTGTGTCCGCTCCGGATTTTGGTCCGAACTTTCAGAAAACTCTCGAAGTGTGCTGATCTCTGCTTCCCCTGCACAAAAATAATATCTTCGGCTCCTTATGGATAGAATAGTTAAAGTTCGGACTAAAACACAGAGCAGTGTCTCTTTTCATATGCATCTATGAATGGGATATAATTATCTAATTATAACTATACCTTCAGTGGCAAAGTTATGCCCATGTTGGTGTGTCCGCTCCGGATTTTGGTCCGAACTTTCAGAAAACTCTCCAAGACGTGTGCTGATCTCTGCTTCCCCTGCACAAAAATAATATCTTTGGCTCCTTATGGATACAATAGCTAAAGTTCGGACTAAAACACAGAGCGGCGTCTCCTTTCATATGCATCTAGGAATGGAACTATGTATCCCATTATAACTATACCTTGAAAGGCAAGGTTGTGCCCATGTTGGTGTGTCCGCTCCGGATTTTGGTCCGAACTTTCAGAAAACTCTATAAGAAGTGTGCTGATCTCTGCTTCCCCTGCACAAAAATAATATCTTCGGCTCCTTATGGATAGAATAGTTAAAGTTCGGACTAAAACACAGAGCGGCATCTCCTTTCATATGCATCTATGAATGGGAATGTGCATCTAATTGTAACTATACTTTCAATGGAAAGATTAGGCTATGATGATGCCCATGTTGGTGTGTCCGCTCCGGATTTTGGTCCAAACTTTCAGAAAACAATCCAAACTCTCAAAGAAGTGTGCTAATCTTTGTTTCCCCCGCACACACACACAAAAAAAATTCAGCTCCTTTTAAAAAAATGGATAGAATCTTTAAAGTTCGGACTAAAACCCGGAGCGGCGTCTCCATTCATAGGCATTGCTTGGTTGGGGATGGAATGCTCCCAAGGTTAGTTTGTGGGAAATCAGAGCTAAGAGATGCTGAAATGTCTTTGCCCCTAAAATTTGCCTTTGCAAGGGAAACAAAACGCCCTTCCATTTGCAAGAATTTCCCTCCTCTTGCAATGCACCATGTGGACTAGGACCTTGAATCCATAACCAAATGGCTTAGCAGAAACTAAACGCCTTGGTTGTCTGCCAATTTCTAACTGTGCTGCTTTCCTTGCGGAAATGCACACACAAATATTAGGTGCAAACGCTTTGCATTTAAATCCCCCTCTTTTTCAATTTTTGTATTTTTCCATTCCTGACTTTTCTGACCAAGCAAGGAAATTGGGAGTCTATTCTGGATAAGGAGAAGCTTTTGAGAGAAGATGAGGAGCTGCATCTACACTGCAAAGTTAATGCAGTTTGACACTGCTTTAACTGCCCCGGCTCAATGCTATAGTTTCCTGGGAGTTGTAGTTTTGCAACTTCTCTGCCCAAGTTGCCATGAGAAATAGTTCACTCAGATTGTCCATCAAGATTGCTCATATTAGTAACTGGAATTTTTGGGCATCATCAACATCATCATCACCGTCACCAAAACAACTAATACTAGGTTGTTACGAGTTTTCTGGGCTATATGGCCATGTTGCCATAGCATTCTCTCCTGACATTTGGCCTGCATCTATGGATACAGACACAATACAGACATAATAATGATGATGATAATAATAATATCAATAACAATATAACAAGGATTATATAAAACCAGGATGATAAAAACATCAAATCATCCAGGCGCCCCCTGGGCAACGTCCCTGCAGACTGCCAATTCTCTCACACCAGAAGCGACTTGCAGTTTCTCAAGTCGCTCCTGACACGACAAAATAATAATAATAATAATAATAATAATAATAATAATAATAATAATGACAACACCAAATGGGTGACCTCACAACCTCTGAGGATGCCTGCCGTAGATGCAGGCAAAACGTCAGGAGGGAATGCTTCTGGAACATGGCAATACAGCCCAGAAAACTCACAACAACCCAATGATTCTGGCCATGAAAGCCTTTGACTTTCTAGTCTTGTGTTATGCTTTAGCACAGCGGTTCTCAACCTGTGGGTCGCAGCCCCTTTGGGGGTCTAACAACCCTTTCACAGGGGTCTCCTACAACTCCCAACATCCTCTGGCAGTTATAGTGGATCCAGGCGATTGAACTGGATTATATGAGTCTGCACTAGCCATATAATGCAGTTTCAGACTCCTTATCCATGGAGGAAACAGCTGTCAATCAAAGTTATGGCCATGTTGTCCAAGTATTCTCTTGACATTTCACTTGCATCTATGGATACAGACGTTTCGCCAAAAATGCAGGCAAAATGTCAGAAGAGAATGCTTCTGGAACATGGCCATACAGCCCAGAAAACTCACAACAACCCAGTGAATATGGCCATGAAAGCCTTTGACAATAAACAAATACTAGTTTTGTGTTATGCTTTAGCACAGCGGTTCTCAAAGGGGTCGCGACCACTTTGGGGGTCTAACAACCTTTCACAGGGGTCGCCTACAACTCCCAGCATCCCGTTGCAGATATAGTGGTGACAGGCTATTGAACTGGATTATATGAGTCTGTACTAGCCATATAATGCAGTTTCAAACTCTTTATCCATGGAGGAAACAGCTGTCAATCAAAATGAATGACTTCCAGCCCAGGAACACCATAGAGTCATGCCAGAGGACTTTGAAAATGGTACAGACCCCATCAGTACAGGGATTTTGTGAATTGTAGTACTGCTATAATTTCAGAGCATCTTCCTCCACGTCTTTAGAAATCTTGACTTGTTCCTATCGCATGTCCCATCACTCCAAACCGTTCTTTTCTTCCCAAAGGGTCAGCTGATCCTCGGTCTCGTTCTTTGACCGCCAAACTTTTGCGCTTGAGACGCAAAGGATTGGCTTAAAGTAGTTCCCTTCGACTTTTGAAACACAATAGATGCTACTAGTTTTATGTATTTTCTCCATCTGATATTTCCTTGGTCTTTGCTTTTGTCCCCCTTGCTAAGGATCAAGTGTAGAAAGAGCCTTAGATCCACCAATACTAAGAACAGGACTCCTTCCCTTTGTTGACATGCTTTCCTTCCATGTCACTTCAGCTCCCCCTAATGGCTATTTCAGGCTACTGCAGCCATGCCCACTGCAGAATGATATCACTTATTATTAAGTGGGTTGTTGTAGGTTTTTTCGGGCTATATGGCCATGTTCTAGAGGCATTCTCTCCTGACGTTTCGCCTGCATCTATGGCAAGCATCCTCAGAGATAGTGAGGTCTGTTGGAACTAGGAAAATGGGTTTATATATCTGTGGAAAGATCAGGGTGGGACAAAGGACTCTTGTCTGCTGGAGCTAGGTGTGAATGCTAATCAAGATGGTAAGTTAAAACATTCACACCTAGCTCCAGCAGACAAGAATCCTTTGTCTCATCCTGGTCTTTCCACAGATATATAAACCCATTTTCCTAGTTCCAACAGACCTCACTACCTCTGAGGACGCTTGCCATAGATGCAGGCGAAATGTCAGGAGAGAATGCCTCTAGAACATGGCCATATAGCCTGAAAAAGCCTACAACAACCTAGTGATTCCAGCCATGAAACCCTTCGACAATACTTATTATTAAGCTTTCAGTGACATCTAAGGAATCCTGGGTTTTTAATTTGGGGAGGCACTACAGTTCCCTAACTGAGAACTCCAAGTGCTATTCCCTAAGCCTTAGTTCCCAGTCCTGGTGAAGACAATAATAATAATAATAATAATAATAATAATAATAATACTTACTTACTTAGGCGATCCCTCGTAGTGCAAGGATGATGGTCCTCCAAGTGTAGTATCCTGGCGGTGGGTCCGTAGGTGACTGTGGAGCCCTATTCTTGATCTGAATCTTCTCCCAAAGTGAGGACATCGGTTCCCAGGTGGAAGTCGGTCCTGTTCGGGGTTGGCTTGACGCACCTTCCTCTTGGCACGTTTCCCTCTTTCGCCCTCCATTCATGCCTCTTCAGATTCCACAGCACTGGTGGTCACAGCTGACCTCCAGCTGGAGCGTTCAAGGGCCAGGGCTTCCCAGTTCTCAGTGTCTATGCCAGAGTTTTTAAGGTTGGCTTTGATTATTATTATTAATT